TTTCAGCAGAATTGCTACGATTTGTAGAATTATGCATTGAAAGATAATCATGAGAACACTAAGAGTTATGACATACAAAAAACTTAAGCAGTAAATAGTAGTAAATCCAATATGTTGATTTCCTTACGTCTTACTGCTTAAGTATTTTTGTGTGCCACGGCTCTAACAGAAGACACCTTACTGTACGTAATTAACTATATAACGGTTCATATAAATACGACACCTAAATTTTCTCAGATTGTGAATATTACTGTCTGCATAATTTTCACACTTTAATCATTAGTTACCAGCGTTGGCAATGAAGTATATGTATTAAATATAATTGCGGTAAATTGTAGGTTGCAACTCCCTCACATAAGTCTATTGTACAACCACGCGAATTCGATGTACACGCGGCGACTTGTCATACGAGGCACGTACTTCGTATCTCTTTAACAACAATAATTAGCGTTGGCAAACCGAGTCATACCGTAAACGAAGCGATGTAATATTTCACCAAAAAGTGAAATGCCTTAATTAAAAGTTATTTTTTCTTTGCGAACAGTACATGCAGCGACGCGCCGGATTTAACTACGAATTAATGTATTATGAATTTATGAGACGCGATCAGCGAAAAATATGTTTGTAATCGATATTCTTTGCTCGATCACAGATCACCTCGTTTATCCTTGTCGCTTTCCCTCGTGCCGTGTCATCCATTAATTACTCACAGATCGAAAACGATAATTACCGGTGAATTTGTTTGTCGGCCTGTTTGGAGACCAGCTGCGAGATGTCTTGCCAGCCTCTCCGCGGCTTCACCTGGAAGCGACGAGAGAAATCTGTAAGCTTCCGCTGCGCAATGCCCGAAGCCGGATTGCCAGCGGCTTTCCGCCGAAATTTCATCGCCGCTCGCGATTGTCACTGATAATCCGGAAGGTCGAGAGGACTGCAGCTTCTGCAGATGACGTACTGTCAGCTCGAGGATGTCTGCCTTCTCCAGTTTACTGATGTTCTCGCCTTCGGTCTACAAATCATTCCAGTTTTATTAGATTCATCAATTCTTATACATATTTCTCGTAAATTCATAATATATATTTCATTTTTCCTGTAAAATTAGAAGTTAAATAAAGACTCGAGCATATATCGCTCATTTAACAACACCTCCAAAAATTATTATTTTGGAGTTGCTTACAGAAAAAGAACGGAAATA